AAAAAAAAAAATAGACAAGCAAACTTTTCTTTACAAAACTAAGCCTTTCAGCAGTAACTATACCAAGCAAAGCCACTTAGATGGGATCCCGAACTGTCAACAAGCATCATGCCTAAGCAAAATAGCACAAGTCATGCAAAGCCAAGCTATTACAAAAAGGGCATGCAATTCTTGAGGTGCCGGAACAACGAAACCATTGTACCCTTTCGATGAGCAATTCAAAACTTCACGACATCCAGAAATTCTTACAGGAGCCTTTGTGAAAATCATGCATACAATGGCCTGACCCTTTTAAGGTGCGGCAAGAGGGTGCATTTTAGGCCAAATGAGTAGACAAGCCTTGCGAAAGTTTTAAAGAGCAATGCATCGAAGATTTAGCTCAAAGATCCTATCAAAATTTCGACAGCATATACCTTGTTCTTAAGGCTAGCCAACCTGTCAGAAAGATTTCAAGAAGTTCACAAGAGCAAATTCTCCCAACCAAGCAATATATATATATAAGATGTACGGATTACAACATGCCTCAAGCATTCAGAAATTAATGCAAGTTCCAGCAGTTCAGTAGTACATTACAAAGTCATAACGACATAGTCGTTAGATTATCTGAAAAGTACACAGCCATCGCAAAAACAAAGTTACACATGCTGAAGATTAGAACATCCTATGGTATATGGAAGCTGTGCGTCGAGCCAACTGACCCCAAGCCAAAGAAAACCTGCGAAATAAAAGGAGGCAGCACTGCTGGAAGATGCAAGGCAGTACCGTCAGCTATGCTGGATGTTCCGAGAAGAGAGGGAGTAAGAGGCAGCACTGCTGGAAGGAGTAGGGCAGTGCCGGCACCTATGTCGGATGTTCCGAGAAGAGGGGAAGTAGGAGGCAGCACTGCTGGAAGGTGTAGGACATGCCGGCAGCTATGTTCCGAGAAGAGGAGAAGTAGGAGGCAGCATTGATGGAAGGTGGAGGGCAGTGTCTGCACCTACATCAGATGTCCCAAGAACATGGGGGCTAGGGGAATCATGTTGCCAAGCGCTATTACCAAAGCCAAGGGAAACACACGCACATGCAGACAATCTTGGGAAAATTCACAGAGGAGGAATTTCTCGAGCCATAATGATACAAACTCAGCAAGACGACATGGCTCACGCCTATTGACATCCCCGAAATGCTGTATCTAGTTGCAAAACTGCAGAGAAGTTCTCGGAGCAGTCGGGGCACCCTTCCGTAAAACCTCAAGCTTCCTTTCGTCCTCCGGAGTTAGTGTGATATGGAAGGGATCCAATCTGCCTCAAATTGGGAGGTGGAAAATGTTGGCAACGTCCTCAAGTGTAGGGGTAAACTCTCCCCATAAGCAAATGAAAGTGTGTGTTTCGGTGCTCCATCGCCTGACCACATGACGGAGTGTCTTGGCTTCAATATGAATGTCACATGCCTTGGAAAACAAAATTGCATCCAGCACCCCAGTCCGGCGTAGGATGTCGCAAGTAGAAGGGTCCCCCAATTCACTGTCAACCCACTCTAATCAACCCTTGCTGATGCCGCACAGATACTGAAAAAATATGGGGACTGCTGGAAACAAACCCTTCTCTATGCAGCACCTCGATATAGACGCAGGATCAATCACTAAAAGCAGTTTCCGGCATTGGCTCTTCACCTACTGCAACATCTTCACAAGCATTCTTGAGCAATGGAGGGGGCCTTCCCCTCTTCAATTTATCATCTGTTGAATAAAGGTGGTCACTAATAATTGACGACGGGTTAGTGGAAGCCATGGCAGGTCTTGACAAGCGATGAATCCCTGCAAGAATTGCCAACAAAGAATATGCTGAAAAATGGCAAAGCATAAAGCTAGTTCTCTGTGTTAAAGCCAAGCAATCTCCACACTAGCATGCAAGCCATATGAACTTTACAAGCCAAGCAAAGCAAGCTACCTCATGCCAAGCGAAATGCATAAACAAAAAATATTTTTGAAGCATCATGCAATCTATTACTCGTCCTCATGATGAGCAAATTTCCCATTCTATGCTCAATCAATCATTCCAGCAGACCTTTTTTTCACAAAGCAAGTGCTACAAACTGAACACTATTTACCTCATAGTAACCTTTTTCACAAAAATAAAATCCCTATGAGTTACACAGCATTCTTGTCGACCCATCATACACTTGTTTATATATATCCCTAGAAAGCCAAAAAAATAAATAGTCATCCATGACTAAGCTCTAAGCTCATAAAAAAGAAGCCAATTGTGCTTTCCTCAAGCTTTCAAACAGCCTCTGATCTTACATATTAATCATGCGATTACAAGCATACGCTCTTGATGCATATAGTTCAACAACAATCAAGAAGGGGGCCAAGAACGTAGCACACACGAAATTGTACTCCAAGCATGGCAAGTCAAGCTCATGCCAAAGGAAACGCTCAAGAAAATGCCCAAGCAACATGCAATTTACCCATGGCAAGAAAAATTCTCATTGACAAGCAATTCCCATGGCAAGCAAAATTCTCTCTCTAAAATGCAAAAAATTCAAGCATTGCAAAACATGCATTCTGTCAATTTCTATTTCCCACAACATAAACAAAAGTCCAAGGTTAATCAAGTATGTGTTCACAAGAAAAGTAAACCTAGGCCAAGCACCAGTCTATGCTTATTCCTGGAATATTCAAATTGGCAGAGTTACTTACCAAAGGATTAAAGCAGAAGCTCAAATATCCGAGTTAGAAGGCTGGAGGATTTGGAGGTTCCAGCAGCAAAAACGTCAAAGCTTCCAGCACTTGCCTTCCCTCTACCTGTGTCTGAGACGTATACAACTACATAGAAAAAGCGCATTGTGCAAGTTTTAGCCTTTTCACCAGCTAAAAAGGGGCCAACACATGATAAAAAGGGGGAAGAATAGAAAAAGCGCATTGTGCAAGGTTTAGCCTTTTCACCAGCTAAAAAGGGGCCAACACATGATAAAAAGGGGGAAGAAAAAATGGAGAAAAGGAAAGGATGTGGTCCAAACCAA